TATCGTCGCAAATTAATAAAATGTCGTCGCAAATACTAAAATATTTGCGACGATATTTTCTCGCCGTAAATATTTTAAAGTCGTCACAAATAATGCTTTTTTCCCGCGCCTACATTATCGTCAAATAAGATTATTTGCGACGACGTTAAAATAATGTCGTCACAAATAAGGTAAAACTATTTGCGACGCCTAATGTTGTCACAAATAGTCATGACTTGTCGTCACAAAAAAACAGATTATCTTGGCGCCAATAATCCGCGCCATTGAAAATTGCGCGCCAATATTATTTGCGACGACATTGAAATTATTAACAACGACATTGTTATTTTATTTAACGGTAGGTATTTGTGACGACATGTCGTCACAAATAGTGTATTTTTTGTGACGACAAATGTGGTCGCAAAAAATGTCATCGCAAAAAGGCATAATTGTTGTAGTGTATACTTAATTATGTAATTGAATTTTATCATGAAAAGGAAATTAATGGTAGAGTTTTTTTTTCCCCTCTCTACACACCCAACATTTCATATTGTCAAATTATAAACTATTTCTATTTTCAATTCTATAACAAAACTTTAATTTTCACCTTTCAATGACTATTTTAAAAACTTACATAAAAACTATAACTATTGTACGTATGATTGTTCTTTTTTTTTCTTGTTTTGTGTTTCTTTTTTTCTTTTTCTTTTGGCTAATCATTTCATTTTTCAAAAGGCTAATAATTTTGTTTCGCTTTTTTTTCCTATAAAGTTGGATTGATTGTTTCAATTAAAAAATAAATAAAGAGAGATATAGGAATAATACTACAAAAGTTATGATTCAAATGAGATTGTGGGTGTGAAAAGAAAAATAAAAGCTTAACAATTTATAATTTTATGAAAATAGTTTGAGGTAATTTTAAAATAATAAGAGTGCGTAGAAAATAAATTTATTCATTTTAAAATTACGTGAAGTCTATATTTAAATAGGGATATGAAGAATGAAGAAGGGTGTGCTAATAAAACTTCCATTCTCTCCTTTTATCTATTTGAATAAACGTCTAGATATAGATTACAAGAATATCTTCTTTTTTGCTTTTTGTTTCAAATTTATGATTTGAATCTTATAATACTCATTTTTCTCGTCTTTAATTCAGTTTCTCTCATTCATCGGTAATAATTTACTATTTTCAGCAGATTTAATATAGCTTAATATGTGGATTTAGTTGGCATGGATTAACTATAGACTTTATCCTTGTGCTTAGTTAAGTCATACTTTTGGGGAAGTTTATCCAGGTTCTTAGCCTCTTATGTTGTTTTAAACAATGAACTCATTTAGTTGAAGGAAATAGGAATCTCCTCCGGTTAATCCGTTATTATACAAAGTAGGGGTGAACAAAAAACCCGACAACTTGGCAAACCTAATTATCCCACCTAACTCAACCCATTTGAGCCTGAATCTAATTAACGTGATCAAGAATTCAACCTAACTCACCTAACCCGATTATTAATTGGGTTTGGGTTGAATTTTTCTTAATTCAAATTAATTCGAACCCACATAATCTATTTATCTATATAAATAAATATTTTCCTACCTCATAATATATAGTTTTTGTCTCATATTTTACATTATTTACTTGATAACCTATTATGTTTTACTTTGTATGAGTTTTTATTATTGTTTGTTTGTTGGTTACAACTTATATATTTAAAATTGTTTTGCATATATTTTATTTTTATATTGGTTTATAACTTATGTCACAATTTTGGAGCTTTATAAGGCTAAGGCCCCGTTCATTTCACCGATTCGAGTTTAGTTACAGTAAAAAGCTCTCAAAAATAGTCACATTTAACTTTTTTACTACAGTAAAAAGCTATCACATAAAGTCACATCTCAACTCGAATCAACGAACTAAACAGTCCTTAATATTATGATAAAAGTTAGCTTTCTTTTTATACATTTCTTATTTTGCGTTCAATGATAAGCTTTATTTTTTTTTTTTTTTTTTTTATTATGTTCAACCCACCTAACACACCTAAATTTTAATTGAGTTGGTTGATTTTTAACTTTAGGTTAATTGGGTGGGTTACATTTGACATCAACCTACCCAAATTTAATTGGGTAGGTTGAAAAATCTTAAAAACTCACCCAATTTTCACCCCTAATACAAAGTTATTTAACGCTCTTTACTATACGTTAGGATTTTATTTGTAACGTATTTTATTTGTTGGCAATGTTATTGGCATAGTTGAAAATTCAAAAACTAAGTGGACGTTTAGTTCACAGATTCAGAATCGTTCTCAGTTTACGTGTATTTTTTTGTGAGAAAAAATATTATAGCGAGTAACGAATTATGATTCGAATTATGACACAAATTCACATACTAAACACCTTGTGAGAAGCAGGTAGAAGATGAACTGAAGATGGGAACGTGGCTGATTAGAAATTCAACAAGTTTTTGAAAACTTGGTCAAAGGCATCCGGTTTTGATCTTTATCTATAATCTTATCTTTAGGTGTTTTTCAAAGGAGGCAAAACGCGAACAATTGATCAAAGAATATATTTGAGTTTTAGAAGGAATTGGATAAGGTTGGCTTTGTGGGATTGAAGTTACAGATTTCAAAATTCAAGTTCAAGTATATTCGGCCTTAAGTGCTACAAAGACCAAGTAATGGGATTTTCTACTGTGGAGAAGTTACTTAAGTATTTTGTGGGTTTATCACATGGAACAGCAATTTAAAAATTCAACTTATATGTTAAATCAATTATCTGACTTGGAGATTATTTGGACCGCTAGGTCATTTATTCTGTAGGATTTTTAGACTTTACGTATAATATTTTGAGAAGTTCTCATTATTATTATTTGAGAGTTGTAGTGTTCGAGAGAAGACGTTTGCAGTGTTGAAGAGACTTCAACCGTTCATCATTCTTCGGAAGAAGAATTAAAAGCTTTTAGAAAATAGCGCCCTGCCAACTGAAGAGATTTCACCGTGCAAATTTTGAAAATGAGTGGTGCTCCTTGAATAGATCCGGCTAATTGTTACTTGAAGACCTAGGCGGCAATTACGAGAGGGAGTCTTTAAATTGCATAAGCCCATTGATAATTGCAATTATTGAGAATTAATAGATTATTCAATGTTTGAGCGTGATTCTGCGGATATAGATAGTTACCGAACTGCAATACCAACTTTCTGTGTGTATTTATTTATTGCTTTCATAGTTCATTAATTTAACTCAGTAAAATAATTGCTAAAAACGGATCTTTCACTATACAAAAGAACATAGGATAAAATAATGTACATAAAATGAACTCCTTATTGGAAACACAAAACAACGCAAACCAGATCAGAAAAAAGAAAAACCGTACGTTTGTAATATAAAGCTATAGACATTACGATGATGAACTACACAAAATTAACTTTTTAATGTCATTATGAGGATGAAATTAGAGGTTATAATGTTATTACATGTTTTTTGAGTCATTAACTCATTTTCTCCACTCTAATTACTTGCTTTTCCCTTCAGATTCTCTGCAACTTTTCAAGCACACTAGAAATTTAATTACAACGGGCATCCATTGACCTGAAAAGTTTTACATTAACATCATTCCAATCATTTTTTTAAAGGGAACTAGAACTTTCATTAATCAACAAAGAACGACTAATAAATGCAGGTAAAGAAATAGACCATTGAACATCAACAAAAAACATAGGAGCATAACCAACAAAGGAGTAGGCTATATAACTCCTCTTACGATAAGTGCAGCAACAACAACAACAACGAGCTTGCGAGAAGACGTCTCTAATATCTTCTAAAATGCTAGCTTTTGACACCCGGGACGAGAAATTATTAACCGCATGAACTGCGATGATAGCATAAGATTCAAAAATCCAACTTAAAAGACCTCTATCAAGACCCAGCTTCGCTCGTCATATAGCCAAGCATTCCGCAATGTTAGGAGTATGATGTCCCTTGATGCGAATTGCAGCCGCCGCTCCTACACCACTTTCTTGTCCCTCCCTGACAACCATGCCAATACTATCATAGTCCAAACGATTCAGGATGGCCTCGTCCGCATTGATCTTCTGACCATGATCATTTGGAGGTCTCCATCCCGTCATAGGGGACCTTTCTAGCATCAACTACAACCACCACCTGACTCTTCCAGTACGTTCAACTGCTTCCTGGCTTGACAATGTTTTTTTGCTTCATACATCCTGGCATTCTGAGACCATACAAAAGATCTTCAACTTACCCTTTGCCCATGTTGTAGCAGGAACGCGCACGGGCCCCTTCAAACTTTGAAAGTACTCCCCGTAGAGATTACAGAGTTGTTTGTCCACACTTCTATAGCAGCCGCACAAGACCACAATGAGTGAGTTGTATCTTCCCAGCAGTGGTTCGAAAGAAACATTCACCCCTCGAGGATTTTAATTGGACTTTGCAGCTAAAGCTTCATGCAAAGCTTGCCTCACGTATCCTGATTTTGCTCCGAACCTCGGAACCTTGCACACCCATAGCATCTTCCACCATAAGACGGCCAAGTTGGGACCCAATGCCTCACCCGAGCCCCTTCTAGACATTTCAAGCTTGTATCCCGACTTAACTGTGTAAAGGCCTTTGCCATTGAAGTGCCACATCACAAGATCAGCACCACATTTCAAGCTTGTATCCCGACTTAACTGTGTAAAGGCCTTTGCCATTGAAGTGCCACATCACAAGATCAGCACCGCCACGACAGCGCAGGGGCTCACAGCTGGAGAATTTCTTGCACCAGCTCCCTGCCAATCTCCCATAAATGAGATTCCAATGCTTTATGGGATTCCAATGCTTCCTCCAACCATCTTCCCATTGGCAATAAGATCCACCACATACAACTCCCTAATATTTCCTTTGACTTAGATTTCCCTTTCTTCCTCTCTTTAGCTAGAAAGAAAACCGATGAGGTTTTTTTTTTCCAAACAGCACAGCAGTGCACACAATATCTGAATATGGACAGTTAGAAAACATAAAGTCCTTTCTTACAATAGAAAATACTGTTTTTGCATTATGCAACAGAATATCAAAAAACATTACACAAAGGAAGAGAGGAAGTCCCTCCCTCATTTTCCTCTTCTTTTTACATCTTAGCTTTTGAAAGCCAAAATCTCAGAAGACTACGTACAAACCAGAAAAACGTCAGAAAAAAACCACATCTTCCATTCTTTCTTTTTTATTCCTTTCCCTTAAACAATAACATTTTACTCATCCATCTCTTCATCATCATCAATCTCCTCAATCTTCATCTTCTTGACAGCCTGAGCAGCATCGTTCCTTTGTCCTTCATTGGGTAGGTGAATCAGGACGTCCGACTTTTGCCCCGTGGCCGCATTGACCAGACCACCATTCTTCTCTACTCGGTAGACCAGCTCGGACCCATTTGGCCCTGCATCTATGTACACAGTTGAGTTCTCATCAATCTCTTCCCTCACAAGCATTCTTGACAGCTCTGTCACCACCTTCTTCTCAAGCCACCTCCTGATCGGTCTTGCGCCATACACCTGAAAACCGAAAAAGAACATCTAAGTATTTCAATGAAAACCCAAGTGGAAATTTAGCGTCCAAAAACAGTAGAATAGAAAATATGTTTACTTACAGGGTCATAACTCTCAGCCAAGACATAGTATAGTGCTGAATCAGTCACTGCTAAAGCAATACCCCTCTCAGCAAGTCTGCTTGCAACATCCTTCATTTGTAGCCTTGCAACCTTCCTTAATTGGTCATGGGAAAGAGGATCGAACACAACGATCTCGTCGAGTCGATTTAGCAGCTCTGGCCTGAAGTGCCTTCTTACCTGTTGAATGGCAATAAATTTGTTTTAGTATTTCTGAATCGAACATGAATAAAAGATGTATACCTATGTGAAAGATCACGAAGACCATGTACCTCTTGCATAACCCTGTCACGAGCAGCTTGCATTGAGCACTTTCCAGACAACCCAGCAAGGAGGTGCTCAGCTCCAAGGTTTGAGGTCATGATTATCACTGTGTTCCTGAAATCCACAATACGGCCTTGACCATCGGTTAGCCTCCCGTCGTCAAGAACTTGCAGCAGAGTGTTGAAAACTGCTATGTGAGCTTTCTCCACTTCATCAAACAGAACAACGCTGTAAGGCCGCCGCCTCACAGCCTCTGTGAGTTGCCCACCTTCTTCATGACCAACATAGCTGAAAATACAGCAAGGACAAGTTAGACTCTATTCCACTAAAAAAAAAAAGTCTAGTTTCGCAAGGACAATTCAAGATGAACTTACCCTGGTGGAGCTCCAATCAAGCGGGAAACAGAGTGTTGCTCCATATACTCGGACATGTCAATCCTCACGAGCAAGTTTTCATCGTCAAAGAGTTGCTCAGCAAGTGCCTTTGCCAGCTCAGTTTTACCAACACCAGTTGGACCCAAGAAGAGGAATGATCCAGTCGGTTGTTGTGGCCTACCTAGCCCGGCCCTTGCCCTCAGCACTGCCTCTGCCACAGCATCAACTGCTTGGTCTTGCCCCACAACTCTCTTGTGCAGCCTCTCAGCCAGCCCAATAAGCCTCTCTTTCTCATTTTGGCCAAGTCTGGTAACGGGTATACCTGTCCATCGGCTAACAACCTCTGCAATGTGTTCGGGTCCAACAGTTTCGGTTAGCATCAAGTTCTCATCAGTGGTGCCTTCAAGCTGTGCTATGGCAGATTCCACTTCCTGAATTGCACCATATCTCAAATCAGCGGCTCTAGCCAAATCATATCTTCTTTCAGCCTCTTGCAAAGCAAATAGAAGCTCCTCACGTTTCTGCTTGAGCCGCCGGATCTCATCAATCCTTTCTTTCTCTTTTCTATACTTCATCATCAATGGTTGAAGCTTGTCTCTTAGATCATCAAGCTCTTTCCTCACCTGAAAGTAACAATGAAAAAATCTATTTAACACAAGAAATTTAAGTGATCAAAATCTTTCTATTTAACTTTAGAAAACCCAATATTTACTTCGACAAGACGAGCTTTGCTGGCTTTGTCCTTCTCCTTCTCGAGCGCATGAAGCTCAACTTCAAGCTGCATCCTCTTTCTTTCAAGATTATCAATCTCTTCAGGCTGACTGTCAAGTTGAACTCTAACATTTGCACAAGCCTCATCAACAAGATCAATGGCCTTGTCGGGAAGATGACGACCTAGAAAGCAATCAACACAAGAAAAATATGTAAGCACCAAGATTTCAAATCCAAAGTCACAACCAAAATTCCAGGCCAATAATAGGCAATCTCACCAACTTTTCATTACTTAGCTTTGGTTCATAACCAATACCTGTGATATACCGGCTTGAAAGCTGCGCTGCAATGACAAGAGCACGGTCTTGGATCCTAACACCATGATGGCCTTCATATCTCTCCTTCAAACCTCTCAGAATGCTAATTGTATCCGGAACACTCGGCTCAGCCACAAACACTTGTTGAAACCTTCTCTCGAAAGCAGCATCCTTCTCCACGTACTTTCTATACTCTTCAAGAGTCGTTGCACCAATGCACCGAAGCTGGCCTCTTGCGAGCATCGGCTTAAACAGATTAGCAGCATCCATTGACCCTTCGGTTCTACCAGCACCAAGAACAAGGTGAATCTCATCAATGAAGAGAATAACCTTCCCTTCAGCATCTTCCACTTCTTTCAAAACCGCCTTTAGTCTTTCCTCGAACTCTCCTCTATACTTGGCCCCAGCAACCAAAGCTCCCATATCCAATGCTATGAGCCTCACATCAGAAAGATTGCTTGGGACATCACCCCTCACTATCCTCTGAGCTAACCCTTCAACCACCGCGGTTTTCCCGACTCCCGGCTCTCCAATGAGAACCGGGTTGTTCTTAGTTCTTCTTGATAGAATCCGAACCACCCTCCGAATCTCCTCGTCTCGACCAATGACGGGGTCGAGCTTTCCAGCCTGCTCCACAAGGTCTCTCCCATAAGTCTTCAATGCCTGGAAAGTAGTATCCCCGGAGGCACTCTCCACCTTCCTCCCTTCCTTGCCGCGGAGCTTCTCAACCTCCGATTTCACCCTTGCCGTGGCAATGCCAGCCTCTTTCAACAAATCCCCAATCTGGGAATCCTCCAAAAGGCCAAGGATCAGCTGATCAACCGCCAAATGAGTGTCCCCGCAGGCTTTCTGCGCAGCCTGCGCTCTCCGAATCACTTTGATCAGTGTAGTGCTGGCCGGGATTTCATCCGGTGGAGGAGACTGGGACGGGAGTTTCTTCAATCCCTGGTTGAAAACCCTCTCCACAGACTTTGGAGCTTCTTCGCTGCCAGCAGCATTGGCGATGGCTTGGCTGAAAATGCCTCTCAAATCGTTGATCAATGCCACTGCAAGATGCAGCGGCGTGAACTGGGCATGGCCGGCGCTCATTGCCAGCTCATGGGCTGTGGCAATGGCCTCATTAGTCTTGTGTGTGAACTTGTCCGGGTTCATCTTTGTTTTTGTTTCTTAGCACCTAAGAAAGAAAATTCTCAGCAAAATGTTCAATCATAAACAAAAATGGGTCCAAATCAATTAAGTACATAAATGTAAATTTCTCGATAGTTTCACCATTTGTGGGTTTTCTTCCTCTCAATTTCTATTAACTGATAATTAGAGAGAAAACAGAGAAGAAAAGATAATAATCAAAACCCATTTTCCAGATCGGCTAGACTTCCATGAAAACGAAGAATAAAACCAAAAACTGCATCAGAACTAAGAACAGGAATGCTTTCTATTATCATGGATACTCCACAACTCTATGAAAACCGAAAAATAGAGGGAAAAACAGAGCACAAAAGTCGACCCATTATTCAATGTGTAAAGGGACAAAAAGCCATGAGAAAAAAAAAAAAAAAAAAAAAGTCCTTCTATACAATTTTCACTCAAATTCAAATTTTTTTCAGCAGTTCGAAGCCTGATTTAACCAAAAAAAAAAAAAAAGACTTCACCGACCCAAAAGAGAGACAGGCATAAAAAAAAATCGTAAAATCAGATAGAGAAACAGAGAGAGAGAGAGAGAGAGAGAGAGAGAGGGGACATACCTTTCGAAGCAGCAAAATGGATTACAGAGACAGAGTTGTGCTGTTAATATAATGGGTATATACAGTTGATCTTCGTTGAAGAACTCTAAAGCTTTCGTTTTGGTTTTCTTGATCTGTTGTTAGTCGTCTAGTGAGCGTTTTAGAGAGAGAAACTGTGCGAATGTGAAAAATCCAGAGTGAAGAAATGGGGAGAGAGAGAGGGGCTTTTGATGAGGAGATGGACACGTCTGGAAGGAACCAGGAGAAGACAACCTTCCCCATGCTAGAAACTACTAGACTCGCCTTCTAGTCTCGTTTCTATTCTTTTTCCCCCCGTTTTTTTTTCCCTGCCATTTTCTTAGGGATTTTTTTTTTGCCTTTTATTTTTAGGTAATACTAATTTTGTAACCACGTATTATTGTGTTGATGAAAACGCTTAAAAAATTTATTATTTATCGATACAATTATTTAAGAATTTTTAAATTTATAAATAATAATTGACAAAAAAAATTTAAACAGAAACACATTTGAAGAAAATTATTTTAACTAACTAAATATAAAATGGGAATGCATACGAAAAAATTACTCTCATAAGAATAAAGTAAGAAAAAATATATTTTTAAAGAACACATAAAAATTAAAACAAAAAAAATCACAAAAAATAAGATTAAAAAAAGAAAAGAGAGAGATAAGTGGATTATTTTTTTCTTTATTGATAATTAAATAATTTTCTCAAAATGGGGAGAAAAAAGAATATTAAATCTATGAATTATTATATATGCTTAGATTTGATAGATATTCTCTTTTAAAAAATCTATGAATTATTGGGATGTTTAAAATAATGGAATTGATTATAATCTTGGCGTAATTAAACTATTGGAAGCAGGTAATAATATCAATGCAGATTACGATTAGGAAGGATCATAATTTGTTTTATATTACTTCTTTCAGATATTTTTATAGCAGAAAATTCAAAACTTTATTTACCTGAAAAAAAAGTTACATCAAAACGATAGAAAACTCCCTTCAAGAAAATTATATTGAAAATCTAATTAATCTAACTTATATTTAAACCTGAATAAATATGAAGATCTATCAATATGAAATTATGTGAGCACTCAAATTTGATAGGATTTAAGAATATATTAATATATGATTATCTAGTGAGGATATGTCCCTTTCTGTGTCTTTTAATAAGATCATGACAATTAAAATACCTATTTTAATTATTATAAATGTGATAAGAAATTTTAATTGACCTAGCTTGATTTAATTAGAATGACATGAAAGATGTAGGAATTTATATAAATTTATTATTATTTCATTACAATGATTTAAATCAGGGTGATTCTAATTATGATTCTAAAACTAAAATCACGATTCATGATTTTGGGTTCAAATCATGATTCTGAAACTATGATTCAGAATCAAGGGTTTGAATCCCCTTGAATCAAGGGGGGGGGGGGGGGTAGAATAATGATTTGAGTTATTTAAAACATCACATCAGATCTTGAATCATGATTCAGAATCATCCAAACCAAACACTGATTCTGAATCATGATTTAGAACTATTTTCATTTTACGTGTATTTTTTGTGAGAGAAAAACACTGTAGAGAACCATCAATCATGACTCAGAATCATGGACGAATATAAGAAACAAACGTCCCCAAATAAACACTGATTTTGAACCAGGATCCAGAATCATGATTCTGAATCCATCTACCAAGCGCACCAAGTATTGAGCTAATTGTAATGAAAGACCAACCCACTTCGGGACGATAAGACGATGAAAATTACATTCAATCATTTTTGTTTTTGTCTGCTTATATTTCTTTTTCAATATGAATCTGAACATTTACCTTTTACTCTTGATAAATACTATTTTATTAGTGTAATTATTTAACTAAAAAAGTTATGAATCAAGAGTAAAAGATAAAAATGTGACTATACACTTTTAAGAAGTATTTGTGAAGAGTAAAGGGTTTTTTGGTTGTTCTATTTTTGCTCTTTTTTTAATGTTCATTCACTTTGTTTTTTTGTTTTTTTTTAAAGACATTCACTTTGTTTTAAAATACAAATACTTGTTGAATGAGAGTAATAAACTGCTTGGCCATTTTTATGGCATGTGTTGAAATTCATCTGGTTGATAATTATCTCTAAAAACTATTCTAAAAGTCCTCTGGCTTAAAGATTGAAAAGAGTTCTTTAAGATCATCAAAGGCGAGTGTTTGACCGCAAAGAAATATATAGTGTACTATAATAGTACGATTGTTATCTAAGTGGATATCTCTAGTATTGTATCATCCAATGTGGACGCATTATTAGTTTTTATCATACATTTTTTTAGGATAATTTTATACCATAAATAGTGACAACTACAATGACAAGTAGATATTTTTAAAGAACATTTTTCTCAAGGACATTTTTAAAACGCTTTGATACTATAGTATTTCAACTTATGTGCATGTGCTAAAAAAGTTCTCCATAAAAAATTACAAATTGGTTTTCAGATTTTCTTACGGGCTATACTGGAGAAAATAAAGCCAACAGCGCGTGCGTAGTAATACATAAAAAGAAGCGCGTCGGCAATTTTACAACCTGGTTCACCAAAATGCCAAACAATCGGACTATCCAATTCCACCGATCCAGCGAGTGTTCGGAGTAAATTTCACGTTCCCCACGTGCTAATCGAATGATGAGAAGAATTCTAGAAAAGTCTAGAAAATATATCTCAAATCTCAACCAAAAATGTAAAAATTTAAAAAGATTTGAGAACAAAATTGCGAAACCCTGTTCAATAAGTTATTTTAACCTTTTTTTTTTGTTTATAAATGGATTTTATAAACCACACTTCTTGAAGGAGGAGTGAATTTTTTCTTTTTTTTTTTTTTTTTGCTAGTGAGATGAGGATAAGAGGATTGACAGCTTTCCTGGTTAAAAAGCCTTATGCATTATCATTATTTTATTAGTCACAAGTTTTGGGGAGAAAATGTGAAACACACAATCGCGTGTTTAGAATCGTTTTTAAAAATAATTTTCATGTATTCTTAAAAATAAAAAATAAAAAAAAATAAACAACATTTGTTTAGCAAATGTTTTAAAAATGAAAATAAAAATGAAAATGTTGAGAATAATTTTTGTGCAGAAATTAAAAAACAGTTGAAAATTATTTTCACTTTTTTGTTTTCCGTTTTTAGTACTTACCAACAATATTATAACATCTTAATTAATAAACACAATTTTACTTTTTTATTATACTCAAAACAATCTCTTAAAAACCCAACCAAACGCAATTTCAGAATCAATCCCAAAATAATTCTCAAAACAATCTTATTTTTATTTTTTTATTGAAAACAAAATCATTTTGAAACCAATTCTAAATGCACCCATAGGGTTTTTTCTACGTCCTTCTGATAGGAGGCCCCTCCGATATAACGATATAAAAAGGATAATATGACTGTCATTGAACGTAACATTAACATTGGTGAGATGTAACATAGTCTTTAGATGTCATTGAACGTAACATTAATATTGGTGAGATGTAACAGTCTTTGGATGACAATTCCTTAGTGTTACAACTATCCAACGTCAATGTTACACTCAATGCTGTTATGTTACGTTTTTCAGAGACCTCCCCGAAGAAACAATAGAAAAAGCCTATATATTAACACAATTTAAGGAGAATTTCTTTGAGAGAATTTCACACATTCAGAATATTTCTCGTAATAAATTACATCTCTTGTTGATTATACGCATTTAAAACACAGTTATATAGTTGCTAAAGAAAACATTAAAAGATTATTTAAATAAATATCTGTTTAAATAGTCGAGAATAAAAAGAAAAAGTGGGACCAGTGACCACCTTATTGAAGCAATGACGATTGCCACTAACCAGAAACAATGCACATTCCAGTTCATTCTCGATTTGAAGACGATACGACCCATAATTTCCGCTGAAACAACCGATAAGAAGTTCAATACTAGAACTAAGGGGATGTTTGGTAGAGGGATTCGTTCCCTGATTCGAATCATGATTCGTGGTTCGATACAGTATTTTCTCTCACAAAAAATTCACGTAAATCGAAAATGATTCGAATCACATGGTTTGAATCCTCCAACCAAACGTCCTCTAAAATTGTCAGCTCAGAGTGGGCGAACAAACTGTAAAGTCAATCATATGCAACGAATAATTCAGAGAAAAAACACCAGAAACTCGGAGAATACAAGTCTTATTTGAAAACTAAATGTACATAAATTATGAATAAAAAGAAGAAAGAAATTCCGAGGATACAATTCTCTTCTTATTTACACAAACCAAAATCGAAGAGTATACTCAAGATTTTTATAAATTTCTTCTTCGAAATGGGTCATTCTGTAGCCTTATAAGCATTCAACTTCCCAGCATTGCAGCAGTGCAAGACCCAAGTATTATCAACTATGAATTTTGTTTGAAGAGAAACACTCACTTGAAAGCATCCGCACAAGCTTTTACTCATCATCACTGTCATAAACAACAGCCATTCGGCGATGAGTAATTGTAGCCTTCCTTGGGGGAGAGTCCTCGTCAGATTCGATCCCCTTGCGCTTGAGACTGTGTCCAGACTCCTTACCCCTTAGCTTTGGCTCCTTAAAAAGTGTCAAAGAAACATTAGTAAATTACCTTGACTTAAACGAGCAAGTCGCATTTGGTTCAAATGTAACTTAGAATAATGATGGATGATGTTCAATGTTCAATTTTCAAAAGAATGTACTTAATTTACAACTTTTAAGTCTTTAGCATAAAGAAAATATTGAGAATAGAGGAAACGACTTCACTTATTGGAGGTTCTTTAAGTACTTGAGGTTGAGGATACGCTTTTGGCCCTTAGGTCTTAACACCTTTGGTTAGGCTTTCCAATTTCAAAAAATTTGGGGATGATCCAAATTCAAAAATTACAAGGGATTCAGTTTTAATTAATAGACACACAACAAATCCACTTCATAGTTGGGCAAGTTATGTAGGGTCCTATGTGAAAATGAGTGAAGCAAAGGTTTTCCCCTCTAAATCTAGTTCATTACAGTCTTAGCCTTGTCAATCAGGACGAAATACAAAATAGAAGCAATAGGAAAGACGAATGGAACAACAAAAGATGCAAATGAGAGTAAACAAATCATCATCATCTATAAACACTTTTGAGATATATTTCCCACTGCACCAACACAGCTGCCAAGATAAGCTGAAATAAATGGACGGAAAGTTGTATTTGTTTGTTTACAAGAACAACGTACCTCGGCCTCCTCCTCTGACATTTCATTTCTTTCTGCTTCCTCCTGATATTCTTCTTCCTCTTCTTCCTCTTCATACTCTTGCTCAGGCTCCTCAGCCCTTCTGCGTGGAGGAGACCTCTCATCGTCTTCCCCATCAGTTTCATACTCAGACTCACCTCTATCACTGTCAGAGAAATCCACAGGACGTTGGGAAGATTTGGCAGTTGAAAGAGATGATTTTCGAGGGATGTCTCTGGATCCCTGTGACTGAAGTTCAAGAGACAATAGTTTATGAAAACAGATGTAATCTTTCACGTGGGCAAAATGAGGTAATGAACTAAATTCATGTCATAAAACCTTTTTAGCATTCAAAATGCGTCTCTCTGCTCGAGCTTCCTCTTCTAGATCTTCCTCGAAGCGATGGCGAGAACGACGAGAGTCATAGTAATCTGTTTCATCCTCCTGAAAGAAATTGGCAAATAAAGAAATCAACTCAATTTAATCAATAAACAGATAAACAGACCATTAATAGTATACCCATATCCAATACCAACAAAACCTTCCATATAATCATACAAGAATTTCTTTTGGGTCGACATAGATTAATAAACTAAATGCACACCAATCTAATTATTTACCATGTAGTCAAGAACAGAAGGAATCAAGTTTAAAAGTAACCCGCAGAGTAAAGGTTAAAGCAACAAAAATAAACGTTTCTCTCTACCTCATCAAGAGCATCTTCCAAGAACCCAGGTGAAAGCTGACGCCTTCTGTCCACAGTTGGTGTATATTTCCGACTCACCTTTTCTCTCTTCCGGTTAAGGAGTAAATTAGCTCTGATAGTTTGACTTTCAGCCTACGACAAAACAATAGTTAAGAGAAAAACAAAGATGTTATCTCTCAACGCTGAGTACCCATCATCTACAAGATTAGTAAAAAAGTTACCTTTTCCTTCTCTTCCTTCTCCCTTTCAGGATCAATGTCGGTAACACAGTTCTTAACCTTGTAAACTTTTTTATGCCTCGAGTCAACAAGAGCAGTTAACAGTCTATGAGAATTTGATGACAAGGATGATGGTATGAACCTCATCTTTCTCAGTATCCTTCCCTGTGATTGGAGGATTCCCTGCAAAATATATCACATAATGATCAAGAACAGATACGACCTGAAAACCAGTTTTCCTGAAAGAATATGATGAGGAGCTTGGCTGTTTCATTATAAACTAAATTAGATTTTTGGAATCTGAATTTTTTTATAACAAATAAACGATACTTGATTACACCCCATAATGAGAAAATCTCATGGAGGCCCCCGAAATTAAAATGGACAAATATCTTAAAAAGGCTTCCAAAAATAAGTAGCCAGGATTCTATGAAGAAAATGCAGGGAGGAGAGGCAAAAGATTAAAATTGATGCAAATGCAATGGTTATTTAGCAGACTAAGGAACCCTAATCCCTAAACTCTGGCAGGACAAAGTATATGCTCATTTACGGCAGGACTATTATATTATATTTAATATGTAGTTACTATAAACAGTGACAGTGATCTTAGTTATGTTTATTCAAGATCAACCCATAATGCAGCTTTGCCAAATCTTAAAAAGAGAGAGTAAAACGCTCATTACAGTACATATAAATTTATGAATCTCAAAAGTAAATAGATTAAGAATCACCTTTTGGTGTCTTAGAAAAAGGTGTGCTTGATCATGCTGTGCATCTTGTACAGTTATATCTAGAACTTCATTACCGATTAATAGCTGCAGACTGCCATCTGACCATCTCACAAAACGTGCATTACTTTCTCGCTGCAATCACAAGAATACGTTAAAACATAATGTACATATGGGAAAACTATAAAGCAAATGATGCATCTAAGTTATTCTATTATATTTGCAATGCTATTGGTTTCTGATGCCGAAAGAGAAAATTTAGAAAGACCAATATCTAGAATAGTAAGACAAAAATAAAGCTAAAATAATTACTAATAAGGTTGTCCTGATTTAGAAAATGCATCTAGAGCAACAGACATATACATAATTAGAGATTAGAGATATGACAGATCAAGAATTTTCTAACAATGTCGGCTGGATGGTAACTTTTTCCCCAGGTAACTTAATGGTAAATTGGTTACATGTTCAAAAGAAATTATAAGCCAATAACATTGAGAAGCACAAGAAATATAAAGTAGATAGAAGGACGACAAATAATAGACCCCACTCAAAGTGTACGGGTTAAAAAAACTATGATGATAAAGTTCACTCAACAAACCAATGGGACAAGGGCCATTAAGCATGCAGGTGTTATCTCATGCGTACGCATGTGGAGCCATCGCCCTTGCATGCATGCATACATAAGATGTGTCTGTGTTTGTGCATTAGAACAGATTCAAGTAACAAAGTTACTTACAGACAGCATGCCATCGGGATTTCTAACAGTCCTCCAGCGTACAATATTGTTTTCCAAGCGTATTCGTTTCTTAGATCCAGATTCATCTGTGACAAATGTATCTTCCTCCACATACGTCTTAGGATCAAATGGCTTTGGGTCAATTCCCATGATATTAGAAACTTTAATCATGTTCATCTGCAAAAAATAAAATTTGGGTGTCAAAAATCTGGATAAAAACAAAGCAATAAATTACTGATGAACTTTCTCCAGTGTCAGAAGAAACAGAAGTGCAATGAAAATATAGCACACCAGTTTACAAAATTAAATTAAATAAATAACACATACATACATAGAGAGACAGAAGACTAAGTAACAGAAACTTATTGCTGTGGCAAGTAAAAGAAGATGATAGTCTCATGATATACAGTTCAAGTTAAACTACAATTTATAAATTCCCAGAGTCATGTAATGTAGCTCGGTTAGTTCACAGGGAAGGTGTTCTATACCAGACAAATATTTCTAGGATTTCCATCACAATTATAATCCAATTTTATTCTCACGGGCGTGTATTGCATAGACCTTTATATAAGCACAAACCATTTCAAAGAATTAAATAGTGGCATACCCATGATTCACCCTCTTGGGCCCATAAACAATTTGCAGATATTAGAGAATTTTTCTTTCTAGTCCTTTTTTGTAATTGATCCTAAGCATATTACCTTCAATACAGTCAAAATGAGTCACGCTTGCTATTTAAGCATTTGCATAACCTTAGCTTATTATTGTTGCCACATCAAGCAGAGAATCATACATAACATGACATTCAAGGTATTCACGGCAATAAAGATAAAATCAAAGACAATCATTTACTGAGGCCTTCAAAATATTGAAATTCAATCAATAAGGTAAAATACCATTCCACCAAGTAGAATAAAGAAGCTGAACCTTTTCTGGACGAGCAGGAGGCAGACGCAAAGGAATCTCTAGCTCCAAAGGGGGACCAACAGGTTTCTCCTTAATCTTAGCCTCAATGTTTTCCTCTTCCGACTCATACCGAGCATCTTCATCATGCACTACATCCTCTGGTCTTGGACTTTTCTCATAGCTTCCTTCTTCTTCTTCTTCCATAGGTAATCTCTGAAGCAGAGAAATTGGTTTAAATCATTGTGAACCATCACCCTACAGATATCTGACAGAAGGTATTGATACGAAAATATTAAACATATTGCTTTCAAAAATTGGATACTCACATTAGAGTCATGGTCAATGTCATTCCGAGTGGCATATTCTTCTGCTTCTTCATCATCAGAATCGCCAAATACATTACGCACAGCAGCAGTATTTGTAACATCAGGCTGATCCTTCTCCTCTTCAGGGGATCTAGAATTATAAAATCAGTTTTATGGACCAATCAAATCAGTCGTCTGCTTTAAGCAAATGTGTATATAAGAATCTTATCGAAGTCTCAAACTATTTTCTCGTTCTCAATATAAAAATTGCAAATAGTAATTGAAGAAACAATATTGCTTTCTTAGGAAACTCTGCCTTTGTACGTTAACTTGAATATTTATCATTAAATGCACTTTAGTCAACTAGACCAGCGACCATTCCTTTGAATGAAGTGCAAACCAGGAAGATTACTGTTTATGAACAGTACAAAATCAAACTTGCTGGAAGTAGAAAGACAAGGTAAGATGACCTGATAGAGAGAATTGTTTTCCCAGTTGCTTATAACATTTTGCTTCATAAAGATGACCTGATAGAGAGAATTGTTTTCCCAGTTGCTTATAACATTTTACTTCATAACTACTAACCTTCACAATTTTCAACCTTTTTTTTCCTTCTGATTGAAAATCAAACCCAAAAAACTTCAGTTACATGAATTTAGAAAGGAATTGCAACTAGTCAGAACGCTTCGCAATGTGCGAAAGTGAATTTTTGTGTAGACTTGATGGTATTTTGAAAATTTGGAATCACAGAGTTCAGCAAGATGAAATGGAACTAAAACTATTATACAAAAGGAGGAGGAGGGTGGAATTTACACTGGACTTCGAGCTTGATCAACCTCATCATCTTCATTATCAGGGTAATGGTTCTCCTCCGACCTCTCTGATCCACTTTCAATTACATTCCGTCTAGTACTTGTTAGCTCTTCTTTCTCATCACTATCTGTATATCTGCCTTCACTTTCTTCTCTCTGGACAGCAGCTTCTACCTCTTGGGAACTTTGATCTCTTTCACCCTCACTTTCACCAGGATCAGGTTCTACATCACGCATCTCACCTTCACTCTCTATTTCTACCTCGCCATGCCCCTCTACTTCACCTTCGCCTTCAGGCTCCATTCCTCCTTCCCCTTCATCCTTTAAAAAGAAAATAGAAAACCAGTCACGAAAATGATCAAATCAGCAGCTACTTCCAGGAATTCAGGAAGTCAAGAATCATTTCACGGCGTGGTTTCCTTAAAGCAGCAGATCTATTAAGTTGACAATTACAAATATTAAGAACATTGTTTCACCATGAGCACAGTGAAAACAATGAATGATGGTTAAATATAAGTATGCCTCCCTCTAAAAACCAATAATCTCCACATGTTGCACCAAAAAATAACATGCACAACAGGGTATGAAATCTCGTTATTGATAAAATCTATACTCGCTCTTCGAATTACCAAACAAATATCTCCTAGCACTCATACAGTACACAATGCAAGATATTCCGGTTTTTTTTTTCCCAACTCTAAAGCCCTTTTCCCTCCTTTTTCTTTCTTAAAAGATGACATATACATTGCATACAATTTCTTTGGAAAAACTCATGGTAAGCTTAACATTACAACGGTTGATTTTGATTTTAACAATTTCCAAGCTACTTCCACAAGCTAATAAGTCATGCTTATAAGAGCAAAATACATGTTTATTTCAAAATTATGAAAAGAAAATAAAAAATAACTAAAAGAGCTCAGCATAATCGAAGGAAAAACCATAAGTACAAATGTAACATACCCTCTTCTTGTTCGTCAAAATAATAAAAATAATCATAATCATAGTTCAATAAAAAAAATCACAAATCTAGAAGCATAATATATTCCCACTTGAAATCTATGCACTGAAAATCTACACAAAAATCCAGTAAAAGAGCTCCAAATCGAAACACGGAAAAAATAATAATAATAACCTAAAACCAATGCATGCACATCAACTTAAAGCTAACATCTTGACCCAGTTTAAGATGAACAACAGACACAAAAGGCGTAATTGCACAAAACCCTAACCTATCAGAAAAACGAAACAAATAAACAGATTCCCAGGCCCTAAAACCACCGCATGCAAACCAAACCGAAGGCTAACAAAGGGCATACGAACTCAAATTCCTGACCTAAATTATCAGCCACAATTGAGCTGAAAAAGAATCGAAAAAATCGAGAGAGAGAGAGAGAGAGAGTTACAGAGGCGTAATTGGGCTGGGGATTGGACTCGTGCTCGGAGTCGATGTCTTCCTCTTCTTCGGATTGGTCGCCGAAGAGGTTCTGCATCATCTGGTGCCTCTTCTCCTCCCCCATCTTTCGCCGGTCGTCTTCCTCCGCCGCGGATCTACCCAACCTCCGTCGTCTCTCTCACTCTAACGCAAACGCTCCGTCTTCTTCTTTTTTTCTTTTTCTTTTTTTTTTTTTTGCCGTTTTTATATCCAACAGAAAAAGAAATACCTCGGGGATTTTTGGCTTTTGCTGGTTTTGCTGACTGCTGGGAATACGTCAACTTTATTGTCACCCCGTCCAAAATCCACGTGTATTCATGTAGATAAATATATTCTTGAAATAAGCTTTTTTAAATATATATATATTAATATACAACTCGTTTAGTTTATTGATTCGAGTTAAAATATAACTTTATGTGATAATTTTTTATTATAATAAAAATATTAGATATAATTATTTTTAATAGTTTTTTATTATAATAAAAATCAAATTGTAAAATTTGAATCGGTAAAATAAACAGGGTCATAGTATTTTCCTCTAAAAAAATTAAATTCAAAATTTTTTTATGAATAGTTCTCTCATAAAATTCGCGCTAATAAATTAAAATTACTGATTTAAACGCGTAAATTAAACAAATTATAAATGAGAATTATTAATGTCATTTTGTCTCGCATCCTAACCGCATCATATATCTAACACCGCACAATACATATATCTAATACTGCACAACGCATTGACCAAATATGTTCTAAAATGGGACACTATAAAATATTGAACTTTAGGCACATCCTAAGAGGAGAAAGAAAGGCATCTTACCATTGTGCCAACTCATTGTTGGTTCAAACAAATTTAGAAAGAAAATTAATAATGTATAGAGATTTTATTTAAATTGTAGGAATTTTATAGTAAGATGTGAATTTAATTAATTTTTTAATGGTCTTATTCATAGATAAGAGTGGTTATGTATTGAGTGCTATAAATATTAAAGTTGCACGAATGAAAATAGTTATGTGTTGCTTGTTGTAAATATTAAAATAGAAGCAAATAGATGAAACCGTTGAAAATTTAATTCGATTAGATCAACAATTTTTATTGATAGCGAGAAAATATAGGGCATGTTCTTTTAGAGTGTGATTTGAATGTAGTTTTTGAGTTGAATTTGAGTTATAACTTGAGTTGAAGTTGTAACTTGAATAAAGTTGAGTAAAGTTGAATAAAGTTAGAACTTAAAAGAACGTGAACTTGAATAAAGTTGTAACTTAAGTTTAAACTTTTTCTGAGTTTTGTTGCAAAAGAACAACCCCATAGCTTCTAGTGTAAAATTTCCTAAAATATAATTGTTTTAGACAACTTCTATGGTGGAACACGCTAAAAAGAATTCATCAGTGAGACTCATATTTTTAATCGTTGGATTAATTTTTCAACAGTCAGATATGTGCAGGTCCGCATTAAAAAATTACAGCGCACCACAAAAAAATTGCTCTTGCAACATATCTAACCATTGAAAAATTAATGTAATGGTAAAAAAGTAGTGTTCCACCAGTGGGTATTTTTAAGATATTCCACCGTAAAGAATGTCATCTTTTTAAGGATACATATATATCATCTTTTAGGAAGCCTCTACGGTGAGACCTCTTAAAAAATCCACCGGTGGAACACCCTATTTTGACCGTTGGATTAAGTTTTTAATAGTTAGATCTGTGTAGGTCCATATTAAAAATTTTACAGCGCACCGCACTTAACTGCTTTCTCTGCATATCTATCCATTAAAAAAGTAATCTAACAGTCAAAATAGGATGTTCCACCAGTAGGTTTTTAAGGGATCTCACCATAGAGAAAGCCCATCTTTTATTTTTTATAAGTGAAAATGAATTTCAACTTTTCAATAAATTAAACCTGCACACTACGATGGATAGGGAATATGAGCAATTCATTTTTAAAAAATTCTGCCTCTTTTTTTCAAAATTATCTCAATTTTCTACTTTCCACATTATTATCTTTTGGGTGGTTCTATTTATACACCTTTTTTTGCTCTTGACACCCCTCTCATGTTAAAATTTCTTATTACTAAAAGACATTAATAGAAAATGACAAAAAAAGAAAAGTATAATATATTTAATTATGTGAAATAGTATCATGCATAGAACTTTTCACCGTTCAGTATAAGGTCTTTTTAGTGATTTCCTTAGTCATAACCTATGAGGGTGCGTTTGGTTGCAGTGACGAAATGGTTATGAAATTGAATTGGAATGTGCTGGAAACATAAACTGATTCTTTAGTTTGGTTAGAGTTATGGAATCAATACCTGAATAAGGATTATACTGTTTGATTGACCACAGAAGGAAATTAAACTGTATTTTGACAAAAATATCCTTGACAACTAATCATTAGTATTTTAATATTTAATTAATTAAAATAGTCAAAAAATAATTTAATTATTAAAAAAACTTTTTATTTAAAGGATAAAATTCTAAAAATATTTTTTTAATGATTAAAAATAATTTAATTTTTTTATTTTTATTTAAAAAGTATCACTTATGTTTATTACACATATATAATCTACTAACTACTTATTTTGCACAAGACAAGACGTTAACAATTGAACTTTTATTTTTTACTTGTGTTTGAATGCATCGTTGGCTCATATATGATCATTTTTAGCCTTTATCATGATATGTATTGAGTAAAATTATCACTTTGGCCCCTTTCGATAGTAAAAATGAACCAATATATCATCCAAGGACATATATAAAAATATTTAAGCCGTCAAAAGATACAACATAAATGCTCATCTAATCCCAAAATATAGTCAAACACCATAACTAGTAGACTCACCTATAAATAACATCCATCATCTACCAAGTCAAGCAGAATCGTAGTTAATACGACTTAACAAAGTTAAGCATAATCCTAATTAGTTAGTGCAATTAGATATAATAGCCAATAGCCATAGCACATACATTATAATATCAAAAGAGAAATGCAACCATGAAATGAAGCAACCACTCCTAAATATCACCAGCAAGAAAAGCTATGGCCCACTCACCTCTTTCGTCATCAGGAATACTAAAAAAGTATGAAACTAAAGCATCATCTTTCATCATCATGCGAGCTACCTTATGGCGTTCCATTGTGTTAATGGTTGTGGTCCTTTGTAGCTCATCGCTAAGCCGACTATGCTTTTCCATCATGTCTTCACTGATTGCGCAACTTAAACGTGCATACGCCTTTTCAATAACACTACCAAGTACACTAGATGACTCCTTAATGGCTTTATAAGCGTCAACATTGTTTGTATTTTTTTTTTAGAAGACCCTTGAGACAGAGATTGAGATTGAGGAATAGCTGATGCTTGTGAGAAATACATTGATTATGCTTCACCCACACCCATCGTATTGTGAATACTATTAAAAGTGTCATCATCAATATTAACATCGTCAGGTCCTTTTTCAAGTTCCTCAACTACATCAGAAGGAGTCTTGCCACCCCTACCGTTTGCACGATCTTTACAAAAAGACCATGCATAAGTCATCATAATAAGGAAAAGCCTTGGTTTTGAATGGTATTGCCTCCCTGTGACTCTGAATTATTTGTATATATATATATATATATAGATTAAATAGATAAACAACTTCTATTAGTATCAACAATATTAGTGAATTATATTTATAATTACCTTGAGATATGCTTCCCACACCGGCTTCTTATTGATAACCGTTTTCTTGTCTGGATCCCATCTGAAACCGCTACAGTTTGGCCCGGTTAGTATTTCATGAACAATTTGAAAATGAGTCTTGAAAGCTTTCATTCTTGATTCTATTTGTGGTGTAGCTAGTAGGTGACATCCCGGCAACCTGTTATGTAATTTTTTCTCAAGAGTTTGCAGATGTCTAGCTTGAAAATTACTTTCCACTTTATACATTCCCTCATTATGTAACTCTATTAGAGCCTCAATTAAGAATATGTCCTCATCTTCATTCCAAAATCTTTTATTTTGATCTGGACCTCTGGCTATGGCAGTGTCCATCCTAACAATAAGAGAGAACAAAAATATACACAAATAAGCATCAATGATCTCTATTACATATAATTAGTAATGAATATCAATATAGACAAACAATTCAAAGCAACACATATTATTCAAGTGTCAAGAACACAAGTTTTTCGTAATACAATGCAAACAACACAAGTTTTTTATACTCATGCCAAGAAAAAAAACACAAATACAATTGTCATGCATTCATACGATGCCTCCATTCATTAAACATATCTTATGTTAATGTATTTCTCCATCCAGTCCATTCCTCTGAAGGCTTAATGGCCATTACCAAATCATCACAATCTTCTTCATCTTCCTTATTATTCTTACACTCATCTTCAAGAATGAGTAGTGGTCCATCTTCCCATTCCTTTAGATGGTAATGGGCCACGAAATGGAGCAAGAAATCCTCTACAATTGAAGATTCCGACATCAACAAGTTAATAACATCCTATTAAAAGAATAAGTAAAAATTAGTTTTACATTTTGTAAATATTTGAAATAACATATTTTTATTATATTATTAAATTAAACTTACCATTTAGAACACATAAACCATTTGCCCTATGTAGAGCATCACATAATACTCTACCATCAGCCGCAGAGCCTTCCCATCCAGACAACACATATATAAATTCTATATCTCGTGAGCATACTCCCGAGACATTTGTTGCTACAGAACCATGTCGATTACGATATTTCGGTTTCTTTGTCATAGGCACTCTTACCTTAATATAGGTTCAATCTAGTGCACCTAAGTAATTCTATCCTAAACAAAAGATATAATTAGTGTAATCTAACTATGGGCGTTGGCCATTTATAAGCGGAACATAGAAATATATATATATATATATACACATAAATACACCAAAGATGTACATACCTCTCGTCAGTTGAGTTATTAGAAACCAGCTCAGGTCTAACTAATAACACTCTATAAAGTTGAATAATTAAATGCGAGACATTGTGAAAGTCATCAAAAAACACATAAAAAGAAAGAAAAACTCTCTGACGCCTCAGTACACACATATCGATGCCGATCTTTACCGATGCCAACCTCTGGGTTGAAGCTGTCTATTGTCGCTGCGGTCGATTCTGTACAATCGGCCAAGAATATAATCAACCTATCCCTATCACGGACTTTGACAGTCCTACTTGACAACCTAACCAACGGTTCTACATACGATATATCGCTCCACGTAATCACTTCAAGTCTCGACTAATTCTCTGACAATCACGCTAAGACTTGGGGGGAAGAGGATGCAGGATGTTAAGTCAACATCCTACACAGGATGCTAAGTCAGCTCACAAGTCAATCACAATTTGATGACTCGCAAGCGCCTCGAGCTAGCCGCAACTCACACTATCAAACGAGCTATTCATCTCTCATACGCATCAACGAGTTGTCCACGACCCAAACGCTCAAACGAGTAGTCCGCATCTCAAAAAGATAAGATTTAGATCACAACTTAAACTCGAGTAGTCTGACACTCATTTCGCCGCTCACAGGTTTCTCACTCCTAATCAGGCTTTCACTTTTCAACGGTTCAATTCATGGCCTTTACGCGCGCAAAGTGATATCTCAAACATGCAAGTTCAATTTGTATAAAGGAAAGACAAAGCATGCATAAAAGTTTAAGCAAAATAAGCTATGTCTGAAAACAAAAGGAGTACAACCTAGAAGCTCAAAGCCAACGCAGCTAAAGGAAATTGTCTAAATCAAAGGCAATAAAAAATAATAAATTGGAGCAAGTCGAATCATTCAGCATCTCCAGACTTCTTCTCTTCTTCTCTTCGGCCTCAGCGCCCTCAACTTCCATATCTTGGCTGGGTGGCTCATTCCGGTGCCTAACCCTATCTTCTAGATGTTCAAGCGCCCTTTCGGGCTGCTCTTCTTTATCATCGGGCGTCGCAAAGTCTGCGGCCTCCACCTCATCCAGGTACTCGACAACCTCCATTATTTTTGCCTTTAAGCCATTTTTCTCCAACTTGCAATCTCGAAATAGCCGAAGTAACTCGAGCTGTCCGCAGGACCAACGGTCTGTGTACCATTCATCAGCCAAATCTGATAGCTCGCTGATCTGTAAGTCCTTAGCAGCGACCTTATCAGAAGACTCAAGTTGCGCATGGAGATCCAACATCTCTTCATCGCGGGTCCTCGCCTTGTCTTTCTCCTTGATCAATAGCTCTTTCAACGAGTCACGTTCCTCGCACAACTCGTCCCGCTTTCTTTCGACAGCTGTTATATTGAGCTGCAATCACCATTGCCAACTGATGGTCCTGCGACACAATTCGACGGTCAGAAATCCAAATGACTTTTGTAAGTAAAAAGGAATTCAACATGGGAACAATTTTACCTGGACGACTCGGCCAGCGTACACAAACACTAACTCCTTAAATAGTACTCAACGTCAGCTCGAGTCACCATTGAAACACTAAAACGAGAAGCAGCCGCATGATCATGTTGAAACGACAGTCTCCGGGAGCTCCAAATTGAATGACCTCAACTTTACCCCTCTTCCTTTTCAGAAGATGGAAGTCCGTCAATGGAGAATGCAATCGAGCAACCGAATAAGGAGTCGAGCTACCCGAAGCAGGAGTCTCGTCGCCAGATGTCAAAGTCTTGCCACGACTTGTCATTCTTCATCCGCGCCGCCAACTCTTTTTTCGATAGCCCGATTTTCTTAGTTTTGGCAGCTAAAAAGCATTGAGGTTAGTAAGTAAGCATAAAATCAGTGGCTCAACAAACATAAACAAGTTTTTTACCTTATGTGAACTCGGTAGCCGAGCGGGTCCAGGAGGCGACTTGAATAGGAGTAGTGTTGTCAGCCATCACTCATTGAAGACGTGCCACAAGCTCAATCGTGAGTTTTAAAGCCAAACTCTTTGCAAGTTCTGTAAAAGAAATCATCAAAAGGTCAGTCATCAAAATCAAAAAGGGATAAAGAGCAATTGCAAGTCTCGGGGGGCTCGTGAGTCACTCGGACGATCCCACGCGGTTGGAGAAGTAAACGAGCAGTCCAGATCGTCAATTCATCCGTGAGCCATCACAAAACGTGACTTCCACTCGCGATCCAAGTTTCAGACTTCTCTGAAGTTCAATTTGTTCTTCTTCCGACTCACAAACATACAGCGGCAAGCCGACCCAGAGTTCTGTAATACAACGGCTGGTAGTCCTCGATATCCAAATCCATTTTCAGTCGCTCCCTGATGGCTGTGACCTGCAGCATGCTATTCATGGAATTAGGCATCAATTGCCCAATCACAATCTTGAAGTGCCTCGGCACCTCGGAACCTAACCTTGGCAGTGGGAATTTCATCCCAATCATCAAGAAAAACTCATACAAGGCAAACCAACCGTCCCTCGGCTCATCCGCCCTCTCGTCCTCGTTCGAAGCTCGAAGCTTAATCTCCTTCGGGATCCCATACTCCTTCCACCACGACTTTACATCCTCTGCCGTGACAAAAAAGGCCGAATCATCGCCTAGACAGCCCCAGCCAATATAAATCCCTTCGTCATCCCCTTTTAGCTCTTCGCGACGGACCGTTCGTGAAGCAGAGCAGCAAGCCGCGCTCGAGGATTCTGACGGCCCGATAGAGGCCTTGACTGCCGAAGACGGCGACCCAAATTTCACAAGAAATTCGGCCATTCTCAAGGTAAGCAAGTGATTTTGGTTTTTTCTCTCACGAATTTGTGTTTTTCAAGCCCTAAGAACAATCAAACACACAAAAGCCACAAGGAAAAATCTCTTAAAAACCGAACAACCTAAGTTTGAAAATCAGAAAACTCGACCAAAATTATGGCAAATCTCTCCTCAAAACATGCTACCAAAGCAACGAAATCACAAAGAAAGGAAAAGTAGGCCGGAAAAGTGGGGCTTACCTCGAACGGCGCTCGAAACAACAAGCAAAAATGAGGAGGTACGCGAACCAGAGAACGTCAGGAAAGGAACGGCAACGGCGGCAATAAGTGGGTAATTGGCAGCAACTTGAGGATCGTCGGCGGCAGCAGTAAGTCGGCGAAGTGAGGGAGGCTTCGGGTGAGAGGATAAGTTTTTATAGGAGGGGCGAGAGCGTGTAAAAGAAGAAAGAGAAAATAAAAGAGGGAAAGTGGAAGATTTTTTAAGTTAACTTTCCTTTTTCAAATGAACGGCCGAGATTAAACCTCAACCAATGGCCCAGATCACTTCAGCAGCCCCTTATCGTGAAGCTTCTCCAAATTATGTGCTTCAGTGGTCACGCCACTGCACACGTCCCATCAGCGGTTAATTCAACCGCCACCTACCTAGAGCCGCATCATCCAGGCACTCGAATGGAGGCTCCATGAACGGGCGGCCTGTGATAAACGACGAGCCACAGAATCGTGCGCGAGCCGTCAGAACATTCTGTGTTCATCCATAGGCCGCTCGAACGTTTAAATGAGTTGTCCGAAGCAGAAATCGCATGCGGTCAGTTCAAACTACTCTTTAAGCCGATTATCATTGACGACAAAGTAATGGTTAACTATTAAGGTCAAATTTTGTTCATCATTTCTTATTGTACACAGTGCTAGAAGTTTGGGTCGGCAGGCCTGCCCGAGGCCTGAATTTTTAGTGCTCGAAGGGCAGGGACCCATGGTTGCCTGTCCAAGCACTATAGCGGGCTCGAGCTGCCCAAGAAACAATCGCACGGCGGAAGCCCGCTGCCGAATTGCCGCTCCCGACCGTCGACCGCCGATTTTTTTTTTATTTTTTAATTTTTTCCATCCGGCTCGAATTTCAGCCCGAATGCCCGACATTCCTGAAGCCTGATCAATGGCTAGTTTTTTAAATTTTAGTGCCTGACATGACCCGCCATCCGAAAGCCTGACCCCCAACGGCTCTTTTTTTACCGTTGCCCGATTTTCCGTCCGAACCCGACCCGCCGAGTACAAAACTAGCCGTTGGATCCGAATTTTGGGGGAAAAAATCAATTTTTTTAACTCAAAAATTTTTCTATAAATACCTCACATCTCTCAGAGATTTTCCTCACCTAAACTCTCTCAATCTCTCTCAACTTCTCTCAATCTCTCTCAATCTCTCTCAATCTCTCAAATTTCTCTCACAATTTTTTCTAAAAACTTACACAAATATCCTAAAGCTATTTCTCTCAAATCGCTCTTATTTTTTATAATGGATTATTTTGGTTACGGTGGTATTCCTATTGATGCCCAACAGAACATGAAAGAAGGGCAGTTTTTTACTAATGAATTTATTACGCAGGAATCGCAAACACAAGCAATTAAGGAACCTGCAAATCCGAGTCGTGGTGGAGGTCATGGTCGCAATGACGGTGGGCGTGGAGGATGGGGCAAGTGCAAGTGCTACAACAAGTGTTGCAATCTCTAAAAGGATATGTAAGCGCACCTAGACAGTTTGGGATCACTTCGACACAATTGAGGAGGTCGACAATGACGGTAACACTGAACACATAGTTTAATGTAAATTTTGCTATTCTAAATTACAAGTGACATCATTCACAGCACAACACACTTGAGAAGACACTCTGAAAAATGTCTTCAAAAGCGTGGCCAAACCGGCGGAGTCAAACTCTGCCAAACACAATTATCTTTTGATCGCACAACCGGTGGTCTAACCAATTGGAAATACGATCTGCAAGTAGATCGTATGGAAGTTGGGCGAATGATAGCTACAATAGATCAACCACTTAGTTTTGTAGAGCATCCTAATTGGCAGCGATATATTAAAGTTGTACATAATTATAATGCATAGTTTAATTCAAAAAATACTCTTAGGAAAGATTTGTTAAAAGTATTTAAACAAGAAAAAGAAGCATTAATAAGCCTTTTATACTATACTATCGGTTGCATTGCGTACAGTAGACATTTGATCTGTCGTTACTAACAAAGATTATTTATCTGTAACCGGACATTACTTTAAAGGTTTCGATTTAGATAAAAGAATTTTAGGTTTTAAATGTGTTCTAGGATCACATAGCGCCGATTTAATATATAATACCATTTTAAATGTAATTGATGAATATAGATTAAAAGATAAAGTGATGTATATAATATTAGATAATGCCAGTGCAAATACTAAAACAATTGAATATTTTGAAAATGATTTAAGTTTATTCGGTGATGATTCTATTTTACACCAACATTGTGCTTGCCATGTAATTAATTTAATAGTTAAATCCGGTTAAAAATCAATGTCTATTCATATAAAAGCAATTAGAGATAGTATTGCATGGATTCAAGGTAATAACCCACGCTAACAAGATTGGTTTAGGTTCTTACAAGCACTAAATCTAACTCCTAGAGCATTAGCCATAGATATGCCAGTAAGATGAAATTCAACTTATATAATGCTTCAACAATGCATCCCCTATAAGGATGCTATAACAGACTATATTAGTGCAAAATTAGGGGCATGACATATAGATGCACATGATTTGCAAATTGCCAAAACTTTGTATCAATTTTTTGGTAAGTTTCATGAGGTTATTTTAAAACTTAGTGGAACATATTACCCAACATCACCTTTAGATTTAGGTGAATTTTTAAGAATTAGTGTTTTATTTAGTGAATATAGGAATGATCCAATTTTAGAAGTTCCTATCGCTTCTGTGGAAAAGAAATTTTAAAAATATTGGTCTAAATTGCCAATGTTATATAGTTTTGGTACTATTTTTGATCCAGGATTAAAATTAGAATGTTTAAAAAACTCAGGTGAATTTTTATGCATTGATTGTTATGACTAATTTCCTAAAATAAAGAAAAAAATATTTTTTCACTATAGCAAATATGATAATAGGTTTAGAAACACAAACTCTACAGTACATGAACCGCAACAAAGAGATGAAACCCCACATTCATTCATGAATATTTTCATGTTGAAGAAGAAGAAGAAGACGACTCAAACATAAGCTAGGAGTGGATCTTCATCAACAGGTGGTGGCGGCGGCGGCTTCAACGAGCTTACGGCGTACCTCAGTAAGAGCTTAGTAGTCGACGGTAGTGAAGATTTGTTTGATTTAGTTCAATGGTGGAGGGCACGAGCATTAACTTGGCCAGTCCTAATTCGCTTGGCAACAAATATTTTTTTGATCCCAGTCTACACTGTTTCATCCGAACAAGCCTTCAGTACGACCAGATGAATACTTGAGGAATGTCGAAACGCATTGTAAAGGAATGCCGAAACGTATTGCAAAGGGACATTGTTGAAGCTTTGGTGTGCATTAAGGATTGGGATCGTGCCGATCAACATTTACAAGATACAATTTCGCCGGCAAGCCAGGAATGGATAGATGAATTTAATAGATTAACATTTTGCTTATCCTTCAACTTCAAATTAAATTGTAATTTCTAAATATTTATTTGCTTTGGACATTGTAATTGTAATATTTAGACTTTGTAAGTTTGTAAAATTTGTAATTCGTCAAAAAATGATTGCACTCTTTTTTTCTTACCAAGTTTTTATCCCAATTAGATTTTTCTTGGTAAGGTTTTTAACGAGTTAATCATGAATTACAAATTTAAAAATTAATATACAAAATTAATATTTTAAATTGTGTTAATAATGTGTATTGATTTTAGATTTTATATAATTTTAACACAAAATAACTTAATAATTATTTATATACAAA